CCTTGCATCTTCGTTTTCATTCAATCTCGTCTTCCCTATCGTTTTTGCGCTAGCCGATCACAATCTCACAAAAAAATCAAAATTCGGTGATTATAGGCCCGCAAAGCGCTTCCGAAGCTGAGGCAACGGAGCTTGCAAAGAAAAGGGCTGGCTTCTATATGGACACAAAGGACATACTAGATGATCGGAAAACGACGAGGTCTCACGAAATACGAAGATGAATAGAAAATTGATTGCAGAAACAGTTGGTTATTGAATTTTCCGCCCTCGTATCCAGAGGTACGGACAGGCCTTGCCTTAGGACTTGACTGTACACTGGCTAACAGTTCTTACAAAATAATAGATTGATTTGATAACACATCATCTAAACCTATATAGATGCACTGTAGTAACGTTAAGCTAATGATGAAAAGCAGCAAAAAGTTTTAACATTAGTCGTCAAGTGTTTTTGGGATACTCGAACATCAGAACATGCCTGGAGCCTTTGAAATGAGGTTTACTTCGTGCAACCCTATTCAACCAGACTTACCTTATTAGAGGGCATTAAGAAGAGGTTGCCATGCAGGCTGCGCACAACGCGCAGTAGGGGAAGAGTCATAAAATCGAAAGTGTAAAAGCGATATAATTTGTATCTACGAGGCCCACTGATTAATACCGTAGGTTGTCGTTACTGCCCTCAGTGTAGCACCTTAAATCACTATCGGCGGAATGACTTCACTTTTGGTCTAAGAGATAGGATAGCTATCACCAACCGCCTAGTATCGATACGTATCTGGAAAGGAACCGCATCGCGAGCGATTCATGGTGTTAACTCCCTGGAGAGAGTAACCTAACTTAAAGTGTGGTTGCCTCTCAGTTTCTCAGAATCACCATCTTGTAACTGGTCGGCATTCTACCATAATAGCAGCCTCTTTTTTGGGATGACAAACGGCCGAGGCGCCGCCTTGAATCCTGAGGACGAGCACCCATTCCAGTTCCAGAGTTTTAAGGAACTGAAGCAGGCATTTCAGGAGCAGGTAATGACATTCAAAGGACTGATTGGCTACATTAGTAAGAGCAATTTAGATGGCGAGATCAAGAAAACCGAAAGGCGATGAGTCAGATTTTAGTGCCGCGGTGAGAGAAAGTAATGACCGCCGGTAGATTTTGTTTGAAAAAAAATTTAGCCGAATTTCCTTATTTGGAATATTCCAATGAATTTACTGATCAGAGCGGCAGAGCTTGTTGGATCAACTTATTATTACTGGGCATCACTGCTCGACAGTACCAATGTAGATTGTGTGCTTTCGGAGGAAAGTAAGTCAAATTTCTTTAGCTGAACAAAATCTACTGTCAGTTAGTGTAGTATGATTTCTTAAGAGCAATGCGTTCTTATCGACTCCACACCATCAATGTACAGTGGAAGAGAGCGTGCACGCTTTTCTCTTTGTGTGAAAAATGGAGGAATAACTTATCACTCGGTTATATTGAAGTTTCTTCGTTGAGCAATTACTATGTGAAATCCACGTAACCTTTGCAGATAAAATGCGCTGCAAACGAGCTAATAGTGAGCAGTCTTGCTAAGAAGCTATTCAAGTTCATCGCTGAAGAAGGGCTGCATCCAGTGCAGCGTCAGTATGTCTGGCGCGAAGAGCAGGTTTGTCTTATATGTAACCATTGTGTTACAAAGTGTTTCAGAATAATGTTCCAGCTAGGACCACCGTTAGAAAACGTAGAATTCCCTTTTGATGGCATTTTTGAAGTTGG